AAAAATTTGCAAATAACCTCTCATTTGCACGTTTACTCATGTTAACACTGTGATGAAATCGAACTTCTCGCTTCGTATTAGATAAGATTTCAACACTCCCACTCTAAGGCCTGCGTTCATAGTTCGCGACTCGGGAGATTAGGATAGTAGGCGACAGGATATTAGGATAGTAGTAGAGTAGGAGATTGCGCTGACAAGATTGGATACGTATCGATTGAAATCGCTGGAGAGTAGTAGATTGGGCGACTTCAAGCGAATAGATCAATACATATCTAATCTTGTCAGCGCACTATCCTAATCTCCTACTCTACTACTATCCTACTATCGTAATATCGCAATCTACTACTCTCCGGCGATTTCAATCGATACGTATCTAATCTTGTCAGCGCAATCTCCTACTCTACTACTATCCTAATCTCCCCGTCAATACATATGTTTTTCATTGTCGCGTACTATCCTAATCTCCGGAGTCGCGAACTATGAACGCGGCCTATCGTAAGGGCCATATGCTATTCTCCCCGAAGGGTTAGGGACGAAAATTCCTTTAAATTTTCTCTGTCTTCCCAACTGGGATTACCCTGATAAAAGGCCTACATTAAATGTATGTATGTAGGTTAAAGTAAACATGCATTGAAAATGAAGAAACTACATATTTAACGCAAACGAGCTCCTAATCAGGTTTTGTTTAGACTCAGCATGCTCGCAATAGATCAGTTGTTATAAAGTCAACTAGGAAAGGAACATCAGAAAAAAAGAAGAGATTTCGCAAAACTGACAAAAATTCATGAAGCAAACAATCCCTAAGAAGTATCGAACAAAGTAGAAAGTTGATGTATCTTACCAACTGTAGAATTTCTTCCTCTTTCGAAGACTCGAACTGCCTGAATCTTGTTTCAAACTCTTGCTGCAGTCTCTGTTCTTTTTCTGAGAATTCAGCTACAAGCTCTTCCCGTTTTTTCTCTTCTTCGTCTCGGACAGCCTCAAAACGAGGACCATTATTTCAGAGAAACAGAATTTGATAGACCACCTTATGAAAGGTTATTTAATATATGCAAGGCTGGTGTCAGAGGCTGCGAGCCATTGCGCGACGGATCACAGGAATCACAAATGCTGCGAAGTGTTCTTTATTTCCGCCGCCATTTCTGCTTGATGGTGATTGCTGGATGACGACTGTTCATGACCCGACTTGTTTCATATTCTCAAATGGGGCACAGCGATTTTTGCGATTCACGCGATTCGCGCGACGGATTGCGGACTCTGACACCAACCTAACACCTTACGTGCTCATAGCATCGGTGACGATATCGGAAATTAAACCAGAATTTGCATAGACCACCTTATGAAAGCTAAATTCTACAGGGTGCGCCAAAATTACGCGCTCAAATATCCACCGTTGTAATAAACGGTAAAACAACAGGTTGAGGACTAATTTTTCTACAACAGTTTATTTACATAACGCCAATACATAACGTTAGTTTAGATCTCGAAAAGCCCTCCTCGCGCTCGAACACAGGCCTTTAGACGTGAGGGGAAGGCGTCCACTGTGGCGCGCCACCGGGACATAGTCTTCTCTGATGAAAAGTTGTTCACATTGGAGTCAACCTTCAATCGTCAGAACGATAGGGTGCTCTTCTCAACAGCCGAAGAATCCAACGAGGAAGGGAAATTCATGAGCGATCTATGCTTGCAGAGAAAATCATGGTTTGGGCAGCGATAACCTACGAAGCTAAGTCTCCACTGATTTTCATCGACGAGGATATTAAAATCAACACGGAAGTCTGTTTGGAAAGCGTGCTAAAGGACACCTCGCTCTCCTGGATAAAATAGCACTTTGGCTCCCGTTCGTGTTTCAGCAAGACTGGGCACCAGCTCATAGTAGATCGAAGATGACTCAGCAGTGGTGCAAAGACAACCTCCCAGGCTTTGTCATCGCTCAAGAATGGCCATCCAATAGTCCTGATTTGAATCCAATGGATTATTCTGTGTGGTCATTGTTGGAGAGCAAGGCCTGCTCTCAACAGCACAACTCGATCGATTCACTGAAGAGGGACCTGCTCAGAGCTTGGGAAGAAATACCTTTGGAGTACCTCCGCGTCAGAGTGGACGCCTTTCCCTCACGTCTGAAGGCCTGTGTTCGAGCGCGAGGAGGGCATTTCGAGATCTAGACTACCTTATGTCTTGGCGTTATGTAAGTAAACTGTTGTAGGAAAATTAGTTCTCGATCTATTGTTTTACCGTTTTTACAACGGTGGATATTTGAGCACGTAATTTTGGCGCACCCTGTATATGTAAGGGTGTGTCAGAGGCTGCGAGCCATTGCGCGACGGATCACAGGAATCACAAATGCTGCGAAGCGTTCTTTATTTCCGCCGCCATTTCTGCTTGATGGTGATTGCTGGATGACGATTGCTCATGACCGAACTTGGTCATATTTCAAAAAAAATAGCGGCACTAGCGATTTTGCGATCACGCGAGTCGCCACGACGGATTGCGGACTCTGACACCAACCTAACACCTTACGTGCTCATAGCATCGGTGACGATATCGGAACTTGAATTCACAGGTGCCAAATAATCAAACTAATATTTTATTGAATGTATCCATTCTTTGGTGAGCCCTTATTTATCATTTTTTGATTTTATCATTATTATTTATCACCTTCCTTCGCATGATGGCATTTCTTGAGAACCGGTGGAAATTGGAAATTGGAAACGTGTTATACGATGAGTTTTGAATTGAAGCAAAATATGCAATTCCCCAGGTCGTGAATAATAAGTTAATCAAGCCGAAGAAGAAATAACGAAAACCAATTCACTAACTTTGACTCCTTGCAATTTTGCTGCCGACAGCTTCTCGATCATGTCGCCCTTCTCTGCTTCCAGTGCCTGAAAATAGTGAAATAACCAGAGAATAGTGAAAGTAACAGAGTTTGAGAAACAAGAGAGATTTTTTGGCCTAGGGTATGGGTTACTAATAAACTGAAGTTTATTCTGTGAAAGGGCGAGGCTTCAGAGTAGTGCAAAGGTTAGACAACTAATCCATCCGAACAATCATTCTCTTGAATAATTTAGCTACACGCTGGTCTCTTTTACACACCTATCTAGCACCTCTATGTTATTTAGACTTCGCGCCAGACCGCGGCGCTGGATGTATCAATACAGCTACTCAAAAAAGGGAAGAGCAAGAACTGGTTCATGCCTTGAAAATCGGTATCGCAATTGAAAACATTTGTTGCTTGTTTTTTGTTGTTTTCAAGTGCTTTTTTAGAAGAAAAAAAAACTGAGAAATTGCAAAACTCATGTTTTCTGCACTCATTCTCATGCATTATAATCTCCACAAAATCACCTGATCGGGGTCGACGGACTACTTGAACTCAGCCCTTTACCGCCTCTGCGCTCTCTAGCGGGTCCCTCTCCTCTCCAAGGCTTAGTCCTAGGGCATTCTCTAATCGTCTGTGCTCTAGCCATCGCGGCAGGACCATTGAGGAAAAATCAAGTAGTCCGTAAACCGTAGCAGCCCAGGCCTACACCGTAATTATTTGCAGGTGCGGGAATCACGTGTAAGCTTCTGTGCAAGGTTATCATGGGAAGCGTGGGCCTTACGTTTCCAAACACATTTGCACGTGTTAGCTCCCCTAACCCAACAGTTGCAATAGTTTTACAGCGGTGATTCAAAGTTCCCGTAGCCTCCCTGGTTGTCAGATTTATTATCAAAAGCAACGTTTATTTTTCGTTTTTTTTTGCTACCATCGTGAAGCAAGGGGCAAGGGTATCAATTTCTTGTGAGAGTGAAGTCTAGGTTTTCCTGGCGCCAGACTCCATACTGCCCACAGCGCACATCAAAATGCACGATACCCTACCGGCCTGCAAATCCCTGTGCTCGAGTACGAATCGTCGACCAGTGACGTGCAACAGTCCGTGAACGATTCTTTGATCAAAAACTTGTCCCATTCCCATTCAACCACACCGTAGATTTACAAATTAGAGTGCTTTCTTGAATCGACAAAAAAACTAGCCTCGCTTTTCTACAACATACATGCAACCAGATTTGTTTCCCGGCAACCGCCGGGGCCTCCCTCCCATGCGTAGATTTGAACCTTCAACTGTTCTCCCTTCCAGTTGTGACAGCAAGACAACGTGGAGATGCATATGGACAAAAATAATAATCTTACATAATAGAAAGCATTATCACAATCATGATATGATGTTAAAGTGACTTCTAAACACTCAGCTGGACTTTTAGTCTGTTAGCGGTTGGTTTAAATCTTCCCTCCTACCGCCACTGGCCTCCAGCTGCCACAGCAGCGTCATGTGGAATGGCCAGAGTGAGCTCAATAACTGTTTATCTAGTGGCTCATGCTATTGCAAAACATTGATAGCGCAAGTCTTGCAAAATACCCAGATTTGCTAGCGGCTTGTTTGCTCATGAGCTTCTATTAGCTCACCTTGCGGAACGACGGACAGACAGACTACATAGAAACCGACACACCAAGTTAGCGACTTATACATATAACAGAAAGGTTAAAGTAGACGGCACAACACAAAATACACCTGAATTACTTGTTGTAGTTCATCGACTTTCTTTTGCCAGCGTTCGTTCGCTTGCCCGTCTTGTACCTCTAGGGTGCGACATTTTGACCTCCAAGATTCAATCTGAAGCAACGTAGTTGAAGTTTTGGTTTCAGTATGAAAGCATCGCTTCAACACACCTCCTTGTCTTTCGTTTCCAACGCAGCATGCATGTCAGCCTTCGTTGTTGCCAGCTGTATCGCATGATCGGCATCATTCTGCAAAGAAGTTTCCTCAATATCGTTAAGCTTTAGCTGAATTTTGAGCAAAGTACCAACTTTGTTCATCCGCTCCGTCCATTCCTCCTCCACCTTATCGATTCTCTGTTTCCATTCATTTGCCACACGATCCGCCACCAAAGTTGATATATCAGACTGAAAAAAATGGGAAGTTGAGGTCTTTGATGAAATCAAACGTAGTGTTACTCAGATAATTAGGAGACCATCTAGAAAACTGCAACTTTTATATGCGACCGTGAAAGAAATGGGTTATCTACGCGGGTAAGAGAGCGCTTACCTCACTTTCAGCAGCTTTAACGCTGAGTGATAGCTTTTCATTTTCTTGAGTCAGTTCTTTTATCTTAGCACGATTCTTAGTAATCTCCACTTTGCATTTTTCTAGCATTTCCTCCAAGCGATGCTGTTTGTGCTCAGCCTACAACAGCCTTTTTCAATGTTCCGTCCAGAGGCCCATTACGCCATAACAAAAACAGGGTAACGGGTTACAGCTATGGCACACAGGTTTAGTACAGCTATGGTGCTCATTGACATTGACAATTGACCTGACACTAAAAAAAAAAAACGCTGAATAATTTAAAACCATCTAAACGAAGCCTTTTCTTTTTTCGGTGATAGGAGAGTGTGGAAGAAAATTAGTATAACGAGACAGGCGCTGACGCGGAAGAGAGAACAAAGGACATAGAGAGGAGACATCGCGAGGGACGAGAAACAGATACGGCAATAGTGGGGGTGGGTAGTCGCTTCAGATGCCCATGGTTGCAGGTTTCAAGCCACTCAGATCCTGCCATGCGATATGAGTCGCGAATGTGGCCCTCTAACTGCAGGTGCGGATCCAGCAACCATATTCACGGGAAGGACTGGTCCGGTGAACTTGGAGAACAATGGATGTTCCAGAGCATAACGTTATAAATGGTTCTAGTACCAGTATCAGGCCCCTTGTAATTTTTGCAAGGCATGGTTAACCTCGGCAGGGATCGACTCGCGGTTCTCTGAGGATCAGACATGAGTCCACACTCTTAACCACTTGGCTATCCCTGCAACCTTATAAATAATCACTAACCGGAGAAGAGGTGGACCGACTTTCTTCCAGTTCCCGCAACTTTTCTCCAAGAGCTTTCTTTTCGCGTTTCAGTTTTGCGATCCGATCGAGGGCCTTGTCCTGCGTTTGTGCTAGGACTGTCTACAAAGAAGATCACTTGAGTAAATAAAACGAAGCATTGAAGGATACATTTATAGGACCATACCCTGCATTTATTGTTTTCCGTCACAACATCGTTGTATTTTTTCACCAGATCTCTATATTTATCTTTATACGTTGACGCACGACCTTGAAGTCTTGAAAGAACACTGGATATCTGCAAACATGGTTAACTTTGCTTCAGGAGAGCAGAATACACGAGAAAAATCATGAACATACTTGGTCCTTTGAAGCAGAACGAATTACGCCAGAGCCATACTCGTCAACAGTCTCACTATCAGAATCCCCAGCATCCAAAGTTGTACCAGCTAAGCCAGGAACAGATTGAAATAAGGTGGAAAGCGAACTGAAATTGTTCTTTGTCGTAAAGCATTCGCCTACTGCAGTCAATCAATTACTATCGACTAAACCGATGTTATATAATAGAATAGAAGCATAGTTATAACAAATGCAGAGAGAAGCAAAACTTCTGTCGCATAATGCGGCGACGAACAAAGAACACTGTAAGACCGACAAAACCAATTCGTTACAACTAACGCATCCCCCTCTCCGCATTCCTGGCACTCTATTGAGTTGTACCAAAGATTTTATGACAGCAAACCGTTACAACAACACAAGTTGTCCGCACTCTACACCATGCGATCATACTGTGACGGTCTACTTTCTGAGCTAATCCTTCACCTTTCTGGCATCTAACCCCACTTCTGTTCTTGACGGTGGGCTGGTTGCATAAGACTGACGAGAATGAAAAGCGCCCAGGCACGCCATTGCATGATTAAATCAGATGAATATCATGTTGAAAATAATATTAATATGAAGAAGAGCGAAAGAGTTGCGGTGCGCGATGGGAGGACATGACGGTGGTGAAAACGGGAGAGATTGTTAGCATTGAATGAGCCTATTAAATAGCGGTCAATCCACGAAACAACTGAAAAATGGCGAGAGCTAAAAATATTTTCAGATGATAGGTCCACCAAAAATGATGGAACCTCATGCAGTGCAGTAGAGGAGATGGGGTCTAATACAGGACTAAGCAGTTGGTTAGCTGAAGTTCGCATCTAAGAACACCTTATCCTTATTAAGTGATATACGATGTGGAGATCTGAACCTAACTTTTAGGAAGCTTAATGCAACTGTACGTACAATAGCTTGCGTAGACTAGGAAAAATAGATAAAAGGAATTCGCGGTAGCAGTTCATAGCCGATTGGTTCTCTCTGCCATGGAAGCGCACTTTCCCTACTGTCTGTTTTGAATATACCAATCCCCGCGCCCAGCCCTTGTTGGTACGAGAAGTTTGCTTCGTCTATATACACAAACAAATAACAATAGTTCGAATAAAAAAATTGGAAACAAAATTTTCGTTCGAAGCACCCCTTCTACCTACAAATTCATGCCTGAAGAGGAGAAGGATAAAGAAATAGTATTTGACTTTTACCAATCCCCTTCCAGGATGACCCATTTGAGTCGGACTCAGGCTCGAAGCGCCATCGTGAACGTAATTCAGACAAGATACAACGAATTGCTAAAGGCTATGATGTACATATCAAGTTTTGCCCTTCCATACTATACTGCCCGTCAATTGCTTATACCACCCCGGATTTTTCAACTTTCAGCCTTGATTGGAACTTTCAGAAACTACCACAGCGACCATTTCGTTTCCAGCGTGTCTGGAAACTTATTGTTAGAGTGGTGCTGTTCGATAAAGCGCACTTGGGACTTAATTTGCTGCTCTTTTCAAAGAAAATGGAGCGCGTCAACTGTTTATGTTATCTAATAATTCTTCGGAGTTTCTCGTTTCTTCAACACTGTTGAGCTACTATGCATGTAATAGAAACGAGGCAATCCTTGGCTTATGCAATGAAGTAGAATGAGTGTCATAACCCAAAAAAGTGATCAACGCCAACCGCTCAATCCTTCCGAAATATAATTGTAATAAGCAGCAGGACCACAAAAGGAGATCAGAGAAGGGTTCATCTTTAGGCCAGGTGTCAGACTCGACGATTGCACAACAATTGCGCTGTCGCTGTCGCGAGAATCACCTGATGCAACCCATGGGTAACAGCGACTATTGCCGTTTGCGTGGTGAAATGTATAAGACACAAGCACGTCAAAGCTAATGAACGAATCACACACCGCCACATATCAATAGCATGCATGCATTTGCTAATTAATAAAATAAAATAGAAAGAAAAGCAAAGAACTTGAAAATAATCGTGGTTTGATAAGTGAATGGTAAGCAGCCAATGAGCAAGGGTATACCTCTCAGTGCTATGGGTAGAGCCTCCTGACAGTCGTCTTTGACGTGATGAAGAATCCAAACCAAGCAAATCACCTTCGGTCACTTCTTCCATAAGAGCGGTGCCAACCTAAACGTCATTAGGACGAAGCAACATTAAAAGAAATCAGAAACGACATACGGAATGGTTTAGAGAATCTTGCAAATTGGGAGATACCGTCGTGGAACCACCGACGGAATTCAAAAACCGTCGAGTGATGCTAGATCCACCCTCACTGCCAGCATCGCTCTGAAAAAAATGATTTTTGCATTTACTACAGCACAGCTAGCAAAACTGAAACTTTCTACCGTGGCGCCTCTTATATGCTCAACTTGCTGAGTTAGTTGTTCACCATACTGCTGCATTGATGCTTGGATTTTCTTCGCCTCATCCTCAAGCTTCGATTTCAGCCCTTTGAACATCTGCAAAACAGAAATACTGGCTTCATTTAATATTGAGGGAACACAATCATTCCGAAGAAAACGACCGATACGAGACGGTTAGGAAAGTTCAACGTGAAAATTGATAAAAGCTAAAACTTTATACCGTAGAATTTGCACATAACAAAATATAACAACTAGTTAGAACGACAGCAAACAAACAGAAATCGATCAGAAGTTTAAGCACATGTAAAGCAAGGAGATCAATCTGCACAATTTTTCAGCTTCTTCTGCACAGGTTCTCTGACTGTAATCCATTTTTTCTGCGTTGTTAAATCTATGGTGGATTTGGCTAAATCGCACATATCAAGTAAGTTAGCCAGGGATCTTTGAAGGGATTTCCTATCAGCTGCTGTGATCTTTCTGAAAGTAATCGTTACATTACTGATATTTAGGAATTCCAATTGCTGTGAAAAGACACTGATCTAAAGCCAAATTAACTATGGAAGCGCGATAATATACCACCAACATTTGCAGAATGCGTCCTTCTACAGCAAAAACTCGTACTGCATTACTTCGGCTCGGCTCCTTGTCAACACTTAGAACACGAAGCACTCTTTGAGCAATATCTTCCGTATCAAGATCCAATTTAACTACACTGAAACTTTCGAAGGAAATCGAAGAAATCCAGATATTGCGGTCATCTTTCACAATATATCTACAATCAAAGTCTATCCGTAACTAAAACACTAACGCTGAATGACGGTGAGAGGATTCTGATTGCTCCGTACAATCATCTTCGGACGACGAACACTGGCCGTTATCTATTTCCATCTGAAACAAGCAACGGACAAGATAGGAAGGTGAGAAAATCCAAATCTGCGCCTTACATTATATTAATGACATGGCTAATGTCATGAGCGGTTCATTGAAACATACAAATCCGAACGGCTTCAAACTAGTCCAAGATCATGTTATGTTTTAACTGCGCCAGGAGCTAAAACAGCGCTCAAGGCGAACTATTAAGATGTACCTATAGTGAGCCCTGGAGTAAGCAACAATATGCAGCGAAGATATACTTTGATTTTCAGATCCGTGCTTTTATCAAGTGCAACCAGGAAAATGTGATCGCTTTCACCTTCTAAAGAATGTAAGTAAAATTTTCGACGAAAACTTTACAACTTCGTGAAGAAGATAGAAACCTCACGCCGTCCGCAGGCGATACATCCCTAAATGATGATGAGTCCCCCAACTTGGGGGCTTGTCTAAGGTCGAGTTGCTGCACCTGAAGACTTCGGTGCATACTATTCACTGCTGCTCCCTTGAGCATCAACACTTCAGGGGCTGGGTGCAGCAACAGCAAGCCCCAACAAGGGGATGGGAACCCGTTCCCTCACCAAACTAGGGGATGAATCCCCTCACCCAACGGGGGATGTATCCCCGGTTTCGTCACTCCTATGACGCAACCATGCGAAACGGTCACTGCCGTCGACCTCTTTGCGTCTCTGCCGGCAGGGGATATATCCCCCTAGTCGAGACTAGGGGATTCGTTTTCGGAATGGGGGCCGACGCGGAGAATCGATGGCAGTGACCGTTTCACATGGTCGTGTCATAGGACCCATCGAAAAATGATTGGATACATTCCCAACCTTGGGGATATATCCCCTCGTTGGGTGAGGGGATGGGTCCCCATCCCCTCGTTGGCCGATGTCAGACTTTGCGACAGGGTCAAGCGAGGCGTTGAGGAAAATTTGGAAATACGACCCCCCCCCCACCACCCTCCGCCGGAGGCCGAAGTCCATGAAACAACCCTCTTCAAAAGCCGAACTATGAAAAGGTTGAAAAGCTTGTTTAATTCTCCCCCAAAACTGCTCATAAAAAAGCCCTGCTACCCCACCGCCCACAAAAAAATTCGTTTAAGAAGTACAAAAGTGAAAAAGTCAAAGAATAATCATTATTGATGAGTCCTACCAAACGAGCAAACGAGAAACAGACCAGAAAACGACAAACTAGCCACTAAAAATGGCATACTATGACAACATCTCTTCTTTATTTATTTCCTCCACAAGACTTACCAAATTCTAGTACTACACAGATTGTGGTTCTCAATTTGCACGTAGCCCTTCAGTTGAAAGAAGCTTTTTAACCGCCTTCGCCAGCTGTGTGTTGACTGGACTTTGGCGTTGACCGTGGAGCAGCTTATTTACTATTGAAATTTGAACAAATATTCAAATGATTATAACTTTCTTCAAATATGACGAATTTTCAATCTGAAAGCAGATTTGGAGTTTTGTGAAGAGCTTTTTCTAATCAGTATGAAATTACAAAAAGTTATAAGAAATAACAAATTTAGATCAATTAACGAGGAAAATTCGAGACGAGCACGAGTTTTTACACTTTCCGGAGCAATAACTTGCTTCATTTCCGTCAAATTCAAAAAGTTGATACGTCATAGAAGATTTTCTCTATCAAACGGTCGCTAAAGCAGCTTCATACGTCCAGTACTCAAAAAATGGCCACGTTGAGGATTTTTGCAAAATTAACGAGGAAAATTTCGTGATGAGTGCGAGTTTTTTACGCTTTCCAAAGCCATAACTCCGTTCAAACTCATCCAATCCGAAAAGTAAATACGCCATCATAAACTAGAAGATTTGCTCTATCAAATGCTTACTAGAACTGCTCCAAACGTCCAGTATTAAAAAAACGGCTACGTTGAGGATTTTCGCACGAGTACCGCCGAAAGGTACTTTTTCGCTACATTGGCACTATTTCAACGGCTGTATATCCTTTTAAGGGCGATTATGTACTAAAGTAAGAGCAGATTTGGAATCATTGCTTTCTCTTTCTAAGAAAAGTGATTGATTAGCGTTTCTCAACTTTAAAGGTTACATGTTTATAAATTTAACCCTGAAGAGTCCGTTAACGCAATGTTGAATGGTGTACACCTCCCTGTAAATGCGCACGGACACTTTCAGAATTCTCTCGATTGTTCCTGAATTGAGGTTGTTTGTCCAAGGAGCCGTAGTTGGAGCGCGCGCAACAACTAGACCCTTTCTCGGATGCGCCGTGTACCTCACATCCCTTCAGATTCGGGGTCTTACTTGAAAGATGAAATATCTCTTGGAAAGCGTGCGAAATTCAGATTCTTTAACTTGTGTGGTGATAAAACACTGAAGTAACTAAGAATTACCGGACGCCTCAGAATCACGAAAATTTTGTGTGGGTGAAATATCATTTTCATTGGAAATCCTCTGGCCTGGCATCGACTCATCCTTGATATTTGTCTTCCGACGGTGATGATCCCACTGCATCAAAATGGCTCGATCTCTTCCACCCAGCGGGCCAATACGACCCCCCCTGCGACGTGTCGAGGATTCCTCAACGCACGCTTGACCTGTTTGCGGATTCGCCCGGTGGCTAGCGGTACCCAGGCAGGGTCAACCGTCCGTTGGACAAAGTCCAACGCGACGACGAGAGTAATGCCGAGAGTGAACGTACGCACGGAGACACAGACGGCTCGCGGGTGGCGAGAGTGAATGCCGGCGCGGAGAGAACATCGGTCCAACGTCGCTCCAATATCGGTCCAACGTAACGGTGATTGACCCTGGTCCGCGGTCGCGTCGCGGCCAGTGAATCACTCAATTGGCTGGTACCGCAACGCGACCGCGGACGCTAGCGAATCGCGCGATTCGCAAAGTCTGACATCGGCCTTGGGCTTGCTGCACCCGGCCCCAGAGAATTTTTGACTATCGATCCCGAAAGTAAAAATTACAGAGCTTTCAGTACTTGGTAGTCATCAAGATGGAGTCCTTAGAGAGAGTAAGCAAGATCAGGCTCAAATGCCTGTGTAGCGAACAAGTCTCGAGTTTTTCGGCTAAAGCTACACCACGTTAGTATGGTCAATTGTTTTATCGCGTTCACACTGCTATTAGAGCAAAGCCAGTAAAAGTCTATAAGCTATTCACAAACTAACGGCTCCTTAAACCCATTCCTGTCCCAATTAACCCAGTTCTAGCTGAACAAGGATTGCAGATGCCTACGTCATTCCATGGACAAATAAATTTTGTGTTGTCTTCGATTTTCCCACCCTTCTATTCGTTCGTCGCAGGCTATGAATAAGGTTTAGCGCTGCTGATGCTGGTATTCTCCACAGCACGGACCTGACCACGGGTATCGATTCCTACCAGCGCACGAACAAATTGGGTGTGGATTATTAGGACAAAGCGATTTTTTCGCGTTTTTTCGAAACATTTTTCGCTGAAGGAACTCCAGGTCCACTCATGATCAGCGGTGAACCTGAAGTTCCTGTGGTGAAAAATGTTTCGCGTGCGAAAAGCGAAAGTCGTTTTCTGCCCTACTGAACCACACCCCAGTCAATTATCTAAATGAAGCATTTGCAATTGTTGAGCAGTAGGTTAAATCCGGTTGTGGCAATGCTTGCTGTTTACGCTGAAGTATGAAGTGATGACCAAGATGAACTCTTGTCTTTCGCATGAGCTAAAACAAGTGCTAACGGAGAACATAGTTTCTGCAAAGTCAATGGAAAACATTCCTGAAGGCAAAAATCAGCGCGAAAGCATCATTACATTCGCTTTTAAAAAAAGGGCAGCGCTGTTGTTATGCGAAAAGAAGAGGAGAGGAAAGGACTGAAAAGGTGCTAGAGGTAACATTTAGAAAAATGGTTAGCCGCCATCAAACTTCGTATCAAACAGATAATCGCAATGTGGCCATGCAAATAAGGCTTCTGCAAATCAAATACGTGAAGATATGAGGTAGTCTGTCATTCCATTACACTTCGTCATGAATTCAGAAGTAGATCTATCTCCAATCTAACCATTTTCATCCCAAACTACACGCTGACCAGGTTTGTTGGCGCGAAGGGGACTCCCATGATTGATGAAGTTATTCAATGAGAATAAAGAGAAACGCGCTTGACAATATTGTGGATGAAAACATGAAACAATGAAATCGAACTGATACAATGAAATGCCAATGGAGGAACAGGTTAGCCTCTTCGTTCACTGTGTAAACACGATATCATCATGCCGAATATAATATATCCAACCAAGATTTTTGGTCCACAAGCTCGAAATTAAGCAATACGAATAACTCAAAGTGATGCGAAGGTATGCAACTCTCAGTACAGGAAAACAATTTTCACATATTATCTGCCATTTACTACGGCCAATGGCTTTTCTAAATTTGCTCACTATATCTGATGACTTAGCGCCGCACGCATT